ATATATATATATATATATATATATATATATACATATACATACTGATTTGATATATATACACACACATACACACACACACACACACACACACACACACACACACACACACACACACATATATATATATATATATATATATATATATATATATATATATATATATACATATACATACTGATTTGATATATATACACACACATACACACACACACACACACACACACACACACACACACACACACACACACACACATATATATATATATATATATATATATATATATATATATATATATATATATATATAGCTTTTATTATAATTATTTGGTTATTCAGTTTTAGTTTAGACAAATAAAGTTTTAGAAATTAATTGCTATATATTTATTACGTTTTAAAGGTGCCTCTAATGAAAATCTGGGTATACCAAGGATAGTAAAATAATAAAAGATCAGGATATGGAAATGAGCATATTGTAAACCTCCAATGTTTCCTCGCTCTCATGTAAATTCCACGAGTGTAAAACCCAGATTGACAGCGGGCCAATCAGAAGACAAAACAAACACTGTAACAGGTAACTCTTCTAAGCTATCATGCATGTTAATGAAGTTGCGCCTCATTTACAATAGAGAGTGCTGATTAGATCGAACTAAGTCTTTCTCTTGAATTAATGACGAAAACTCAAAGACGTCATGTTGTACCTGCCAAACATCCAGTCTCCACGCTGGAATTTACATAAGAATCTAATCGCTGTGACGTAGCTTCTAAATTTCTTTTCAAACCGGAAGAACAAATTTCCTTAAAATAACACTAAAACAACCAATTTACACTTTTTTTTGTTAAAATATATGTGTCCTAATAGTGTTTTTAGCAGCGTGGGACACACATGGCCCGTTTCCACTAAGTGGTACGGTACAGTTCGGTTTCCACTGTCAAAAAGTGTACCAAATCAAACCGTATCGTACCAAATTTCGGCACCCTTTCGAAAGGGTACCAAACGACACAAAGGGTACCAAAAGGTGGAGCTACACGTGCAGCTGAATGCTGACTGGGTACAGAGACACGTCACGAGCTCGTGGAGCTACACAGATCGTAAACAAAGGAACCGCCATGTTTTTTAAATACAAAGCCGAGACATGGAAATACTATATGCATATAATAACAAGCCATGGATGACCCGGCCTCAAACAAACCTTGTTGTCGTCTTAATGAACAGACACCAAGCCGAGAAGAAAAATCTGCCATGTCCTGTAGTTGCTTTAAGTGCGAGCGGTATTCGTTTTCTTCCGGGAGCTCGCGATCGCGTCTAACGTTATATTTGATAAAAACGAATTTCTTAAGCTGATGATAATAACGCGTGTGTGATTACTGAAGTGTCAGGCGCGAGAGTGAAGCGCAGAAAAAAAAAGGAGATGCTGACAAAACACAGGAGCAAAATTGTTTTAGCAACCTGAATCATGAACAAACTGCCATAAATATCTTTGACTATTATGAACTGGGAATGACAAATTTACTCTGTAACAGAGCTTACATGTGCTGCTTAATCTGCCCAGTTGGTGGAATGAACTCCCTAACTGCATCAGAACAGCAGAGTCACTCGCTATTTTAAAGAAACGGCTAAAAACTCAACTATTTAGTCTCCACTTCACTTCCTAATCTGCAATTGCCTCTCTGAATATCACACTAACTGTACCCCAAAAAAAAAAAAAAAATACTAATACTACTAATACTTCCCTTCTTACCGTACGTTCACACCGAAAGCGGCGAGAGCGTCAAAATAGCCGGAAGTCATTCATTTTCAATGAGAGCCGGCGGCGATAGGCGACGATAAGCGGCGAGGAGCAGCGCGGCGCGTCTTCGCCGGCATGAGCGTCGAGGAGAGTTGAAATGAAGTCAACTTTATGGTAATGAGCTTTGACGCAGTTTGGCGGCAAGCAATCAGAATAAAGACGTCCACCGCTTGATAGCAGTTCAGGGAACACAGACCTGTGAACTTTGGTTCCGACCACAGTTGTTCCCAAGGGTTTGATTATTGCGGTCGCCGGATTTCCAATTATTTACAATGTTTTCTTACAGGAACATACATTAAATAAGTTACTGGCGAGTTACTGATGTTCATCAATGTTATGTAAATTTATCTTTAAAAAGCGGGAATCTCACGCGATGTGACAGTACAAAACAGTATAGCTGCCTCAGGATATTTCAGACATATTGACACATATTGGATAAATAGAGCAAAGCCACACCACATGCAACTTGATCTTCCATTGTTATATGAATTTGATAAGAAGTGCGCAACATTTTCACGCTAAAAACATGTTTTATGCAGGAATGTAACTGATAATGCTGCAACGGCTCCTTTAAGTACGAGATCAATGTAGCGAGTTTTGACGCTCTCGCCGCCGGAGCTGAAGGCAGACAGCGTTGTCGCCAGGGCGGCCAGAGCGACCTTGGACGCTCTCGCCGCTTTCGGTTAGACTTTACAGACCTGAAACTTGCCTATAGCACTTATTCATTGTTGCTCTTATTTGTGTAAATTGCTTCCTTGTCCTCATTTGTAAGTCGCTTTGGATAAAAACGTCTGCTAAATGACTAAATGTAAATGTAAATGATTACAGACACAGATCAGAGGTTTGTGCTGACTGTGGGCTATACTGCGTGTGTTTTTGAACTCAAATAAATACTAAATGTTTGCTGTGTGTAGTTTTTCTGTAATTAGTAATATATCGGAGACTGTAAGGGGCGGTATGTGTTCATATATGTTGCATTTTTGTATTTATTTTATATAATTACAGACGTTACAGTAGGCTCTTTCGCACTGTCATTGATCTGCAGTTATAATCAAATCATGTTCATAGAAAAGTTAGTAATAAACATTTATAAACAAGTATTCATGTGTATAAAGCATCTGTTTTGTGAGAAGTGCTGCTCATTAAGATATTTAAGCGACCCGTACAGCTTTACTGTAGACATTTATTGGAGCGACCATGACGTCGACTTAGGGTGCTTTCACACCTGTGAATGGATTCAGTTGTTCCGAAACAGAGATTACAATTGTTACATTGTTGCTCTTTGCTCTTGGAGCGGTTCGCTTTCACACTGCAAAGTTTCTAATCGGACCAAAAGAGCTAAAACAAGTCACGTGCGAGTAAACTCTCCTCACATTGGTCAGAGTGTCAGGGTTTATTTTGCAGCATCCCGCTCAGCTGTCAGGAGAGGTGGTGGTTTGGTGGTGATTGACAGGGTGCGCGCGTGACGTGTCTGAGGAGAGATGCGATGGAGAGGGGTGAGAAGGGTGCGCGACGATGCCTATTTGAGGACCAGGAGGGAGACGGGAGATTACCGGGAGATCATCACTCGTTTGCGGGCATCCGGAGACTCGCGAAACTTCCCGCCCTGCTCATAATTCTCTCTTCATATAGCCGTAAGCCTATTACATATCCATAAAACACTGTGATATAACCGCGCTCGGATCGGATCGCTTTCTCACTGCAATCGAACCGCTCCAGGGTTCGTTTCAATCGAGCCGAGACCACCTCATTCAAGCGATCTCGAAGCGATTACTTTGGCGCGGAACAGAGCGCGATTGCCCTGTTCACATATGCCAAACGAACCGCGCTAACTGGGCAAACGAGATACGTTCCGAAACAAAAGTGTAGGTGTGAAAGCACCCTTAAACTTTGTCATGCACCACGCCCACTAAAAGGGTACCCTTTGTGGTGGAAACGCAAGCCTGATAAAGGTGACCCGTACCGACCCTAACCGTACCGTACTGTACCAGTCAGTGGAAACGAGGCTATATATGACTGTCAACATCTCAAAAAATGTGTTTTGGTGTTTGGTGACCCTTTAAACCGATGCAGTATATGGCACCTTTAAAGTTATTTTTATTTATTTATTTTATTTTATTTTTTTAAGCAACATTCAAGTAAAATGTTTTTGTGGTTTCAATTTGATCTCATAATTGTTCTGCATCTTTTAAACAACCAATAGAAGAAACCAAAAAGATAGAAACCCAAGTCTCGCATCACCCTTATAACCATCTCCAGCTGATCCATGGTCTGTTTCCTTCATTTATTTCTCTGTTGTGCGTGATCAGCAGTATCTCTGCAGATGTAGATGTGCACCGTGTGATTGAAGCTCATGCGCGCAGACCTCTGGAGACGCCTCTGCTGATTGGATCAATTATTTAAATGCGAGATCTGATTGGTTGCGGATAGATTAGGAGGATGGATATAGTCTCCGGGCGAGGGCGAGAGATTTAATTTTACATTCATTTTAAATTATCCAGAGGGCGACCAATCACAGCTTCTTAATCCGGCAGGACTCTCACCTGATTGGACGTCGTCTTGATTGACAGATGAAGAAAAGCCACCCATCTTTAAAAGGCAGAGACAGAGGAGAGTGAAGAGCAGCTTCATCCTGGACACACACACACACAGACAGAGAGAATGAATGAGTGTGAGCCTGTATTTCATCAGACGGTTTATTATCAGACTCCATAAAGCACTGCTGGAGGTGTTTTTACTGCGCGACAGCTTTAAGAGTGCTGGAGCAGCAGGAGAATGAAGGAAATTACAGACTAAACTGATGCACATCCTCAAAATGCAGGCGATTGCTGAGTTCATCTGGTAACTGCAGATATAGTCAAAATGATTCGTCCTGTGAATTTTGTTTTCTTTTTCAAGCATTTCCCAAATGATCAATGCAAGGAATTTTTAACAGTATTTCCACGAATATTTTTTCTTCTAGAGAAAGTCTTATTTGTTTTATTTCAGCTAGAATAAAAGCAGTTTTTATTTTTTTAAGGGTAATATTATTAGCCCCCTTAAGCAATATTGCTTTTGTATTGTCTACAGAACAAACCACTGTTATACAAAAGCCGCGTTTCCACTATCGCGCCTAAAGCGAGCGAGCCAGGGCGAGCCAAGGCCAATCGCGTTTCCAAGGTCACTTCCGGGGCCTAAACAGGCCAAAGCGGGGCTTTCTCGGGGTAAGCGGTC